TTCAGGATGATGCTGGACGAATACAATCAAACACGGCTGAGGAGAGCCGCCTTCGTGAGCACTTTGCCGTGGTTTGCTGGTGAATGCAATGGAACTTACTCCCGTAGTACAGGATCCTGGATGAGCAACTCGCAAGCCAGCCCCTCAGCTTGGAAGCCTTGACTTTCGCCTCGTATTCATGCATCGCGTCTTTGACTGCATTCTGGACATCTTGCATAGATGTCTTGCCCTGCAATTGAAGAAGCTTCTGTTCATCGTGGGTGAGCTCCTTCCGGAGGATGAGTACCGCACTTTCGAACGCATCTTGAGCAGGGTTCACCCTTCTGTGTTGAAGTGCCCCAACGTTAGCTCTTAACCACAGGATCGTCTCACGGAACGAGGGGGGACAAGCTCTTGATGGTGAACAGACCTCGACTGTGGTTGTCCAATGTACCAGTCAGATAAAGGTTCACGGCCTGGCTGCCCTAACAGAATCGACAGGTCGAGAGGTGGCGGGGATGAGGTGCGAAGGGCATAGAGATCATGCCTCTCGCGGGTTGATACGGCCATCGGCAAGAACGGCGGAGGAAAAACATTCTCTCAACAATCATGTCCTCTGAAGAGAGAAGGAAGCAAGAGAGGGGAGTGAATGCATGCTGAGGCGATAGGTCAGGCCCTCTACATGTACAGCGCCTAGCCCTCCCTGTACATGCATGCATGCATGCATCGCCCCCAAACTCCAGTCTGAAGCAGCCTGGAGGGAGAGGCTACGAACGACCAACACCATACGTCTTTGGGGCTGTGCTGGCAAGGCGCAATCGTAGGCACGCGACACCTTTGTGTAGTATTTAGTGAGATCAGGCTAGCATCTCGACATCGATGCAAGCAAGCAAGCTTTGGGCAGGATGTTTAACCAAATTTCTTTGCAAAAAAGTCTGGCCTGTGTGCACCGGCCACTCCAACCAATGCACACGCACAAAGAAGGAAAGGTTGGCAAGCTGCTCCAGCGCAATGATAGGGGCAAGTACGGGCGTATACTTTTGGAGGGGCTAAACCCGTAGAGGACGATTGATTGTTGGCAGGCAGGCAGCCTGGCTGGCGTAGTGGAAACTGCCAAAAACAAAAGTTGCTCCGAGGCGGATTCGAACTGCCGTCAATGCAGTATTGTAGCAAGAACCACAATGCATCATCCTAACCAACTAGACGATCGAAGCTGGCTGACAAGGATGTTTCTTAGATAGCTTATCATCCACACCTCTCCGCAATACGTCTCAGCGTCCGCCCATCCCGCCTTATCCCAGTCACTGTACACTGGACGTCAGACTCGTCATTAACTCTCCAATAACGGAAGGGGATGTTCTTCATAAAGCATCTGGCTTTTGCGCCTGTATGCATTTAGTTTCCGCAGTGTCTTCCTATTGGGAGCTGCTCGGCTTCACGTGTTTGGGGGCAGCTTACTGAAGCACCAACCACCACAAGGATAGCTTCAGCACAGACCACCATCGCTCTCGGGAGCTCAAAGTGCCTGGGAACAGAAGTCCGATGGTGTCGCGACTATTGGGCCCGGTATCGAGTAGGTCTGAGATGAATGGTGTGAACACCACTTTGTCTCTCGCTCGGGGTCAGAAATTATATCGTGTGATACTGGTAATGTATCAAAGCTGAGCCCGCAAGTCTCGTCCCAAGCGCGGCCCCATCGAGATCGTGCGCCCAAACGCAGGCAGCCAACGACGTCATCGTATCGCGCGACAGCCCAGGGCGGGCAACACGCCCCGAGCCGTCATCATTCATCATTACCTTCCTTTCCGTTGATTGCCAATAACCATCAACACCAGCCGCGATGAGCTAAGAAGCCCCCAGTCTACAATATCTCTTGCGGTTCGACAGCATCAGGACAGCACTGAATCAACCTCCGACCCACAGACAATTCTGTTGACGACGTGATCAAGATGATGTCCTGGCTCGGCATCGGCCGCAAGTCGCGTGATGAGCGCGAACGCGAGCCACTGCTTCCTCGCTACAACGATGATACGGCTCTGCAGGCGCGTCTACACGAAAAGCTCCATTCATATCAGATGCTACGGGCCATCTCCAAGGGTTACATGCCGTCCAACGAACAGCTCATTACGAACCTTCGCACCTTGCTGTCTGCCGACATTCTTAACCCCGAGACTCCAGACCTCAGCGACTCTGGCCGCGCCTTGGTCATCCACATCCGTCTGTGGCTGAAGCAGTTCATCGAGGTGCTGATACACAAGAATGATCACGATCAAATCCAGGACTTTATCTGGTACCTGAGTAAATCTCGTCTGTCCGTCGACACGTACGACATTAGCGAGCGTGCCTCCCGCATCAAGGTCAAGGCGGACTCCACTGCTGGTAAGAGCTGTTTTTTGACTACCCGCAAGCTGTGATCTCGCTGACTTGCGTCCCCACAGCCTACAAAAGCCTTCAGACGGTTGGGTCCCTTCTCCTCACGAACTCTGATTTCCGCATCTTCCTCTCCGATCTGGGCACTGTCGGCCGCGAGGTCTTTCGCGATACTGCCTTTACGCTAGCCGATGTTTCTAAACAGGTCGGCAAGCAGGTGGCACCATCAAAAGAAGAGGAAGAAGCCCTCAAGCACCCAAATGGCGATTCTCACAAACCGCCATCGAAAGATGAGATCGAGCATGAAGCTGTCGAGATATCTTCAGTTGTCGCAGATGGTGCTGCCAAGGTCGCGAGTGAAGCAGGACAGAGCCTCACAGAGCACATCACCGGCGAGGAACAGGAAACTCTAATGAACCGCCTGAAAAAATCGGTTCTGAAACTCCGAAAGACCAGAGACTACTCGGATTCCGTTTCGACCATATCTCTGCTCGTCCGTCGCTACCTCCTCGTCTACTCGCATGCTGTTGCCGATGTAGCGCATGCTGCGGAGGAAGACATTGACAAGAATCCCGAAGCAGACAAGGCCTTGCACAACTTTTGGCTTTTTCTGTCGTCTCTCGGTGACCGAAAAGAATGGGACGAAGTGGAGCGTACATTCAACGAGGTTGTTGAACATGGTCGAAGCGATCCTGAGTTTGACCAGCTGGTTCGCCAGATTGGCAACCTTATCCAAGATCTGCTGACGGACCCTGACTTCTTCGACCATGCAGAGGAGAGGTTCAAGGAACTGCGAGCCAAATCCAGCCAGCTGACGTCCGAGTCATCCATTCGGGATGCACTAGACGCATTCCTCGATCGCTTGCACCGAGCTTTGCACTCGGTCTTTGAGGATGCCGACATAAAGAAACTTGTTCACACGTCTCAACGTATCATCAAGATCCTCTCTCCAGCACACCAATATACTAACGGAGAGCTCGTTAACGACTCGATCAATGTCTTTATCCCGCTGCTCGTACAGGCGATTCAATACGTTCCTATTCCCCGTGTTGAGGTCTCCACGCCAGCCGTCGATCTCCTGATTGAGAATCTCATTCTCGAGCCAGGACGCACAATCAATTCGTCATCCTTCTTGCCCTTTAAGCTCAATATTTCGACCAAGAACGACGTCGAAATCCGAAAGGCTCGCTTCCGCACCACATCTTCCGTCTCGACTGTGATGAGAATCACAATTTCAGGCCTGTCCATTGCCGCCGAGCAGCTTGGATACTGGCTGCGTCTTCACTCGGGTATTCTGTGTCTGGCCGATGCAGGTATAGCGGGTTTCCGTCTTGATGAGCGTGGCATCGACGTTGCTATCGATGTCGAGATTGGTAAGGAGCGTCTGGAAAAGGTCCTAGCACTTCGTGCCGTCCGCGTTCGCATCCACCACCTAGACTACGAGCTGTCGAAGAGCAAATTCTCCTTCTTCGCTTGGATTCTGAAGCCGTTCATCCGCCCCATCGTTCGCGCCGCCCTTGAAGTTCAGATCGCACGATCAATTGCCGAGGCAATCCACTTCGCCAACCGCGAATTCCTCTTCGCCCGTGAAAGGCTCCGCGCCACTCGTATCGCCGAGCCACAGGATCTCTGGACATTCATCAAGGCCGTCATATCCAGACTTGTCCCGGAGGAAGACCCCGACCTTTACACGCGCGTGGGTGTGGCCCAGCCAGGCAAAGGCGTCTTCAAGGGAGTGTATGCGCCTGGGAGTTTGGTCAAGTTGTGGAACGAAGAGGCGAGTCTGGCCCAAGAGAGGGTCTACGAGTACGACCAAGGCGGATGGCGCAATGATATTTTTGACGTCACTGCAACGAATATTTGATTTCATTATGGCCTGTACGACATACACGGATGGTTTCACTCAATGCCTCGGAGTTTTGCGGTTTCGGATTCAGTAACAAACAAAATGCGTCCCAACGAGACGAGGAGCGGGCGTTCATCTTGTATTCACCCTCTTCTTATGTCTTCGCTTTCCAACTTTTGCCTGTCCGCACTGTATCACGGCTTTCATTCTCTGCTGTCGTCCCTCCCGGTTCGGTGTACAAAATACACTTCTCCATGGCCAGGACGGCACTTCAGCGGGCTGTCTGGACAGCCTCCCCCTGATTCTCTGATACGTACTTGCCATTGGCATCTGAACTCCGTGCCCAACCCCACCCCATAGCCATGCCATGGGGCTCAGGCTCCCATCACGACCAAACTCCACCCAAAACTTCATACCCACACAACGCCCACCTGAATTGGTTCAGCTGCAAATCCCTCACACCCCAACCCGCGGCCCCAGTCAAAATCCGCGCGACCTCGATCTGCCGTTATCAGCGAGGTCGGTTAGCTCAGTTGGTTAGAGCGTGGTACTAATAATGCCAAGGTCATGAGTTCGACCCTCATACTGACCAGCGATTACCCTTTTGACCCTCTCCCTCACGGTCTTCCTCGCTCTTTTGCTTGTCTCGATTTCACCCCAGTACCAATTTTCTGGATGTCCTCTCCGCCTGTGGGAATCTTCAACCGTCCTGCGCGGCGAGCCCGGCACCAATCAGCTGGTCGGTTAGCTCAGTTGGTTAGAGCGTGGTACTAATAATGCCAAGGTCATGAGTTCGACCCTCATACTGACCAGGGATTTACCTTTTGCTGGCCTCGCAACTCTTTAGTGGCGACGGTTTGGACATTTGCCTGGTGTCAGGAGTCGCTCGTGCGCGCGCGGGTAGTGGTTTAGGGATTGGTTGTCAAATGACGGTCGGGTCTAGGTTGTTAGGCAAGACTGATAAGCATGGAAGTTTACGACGCGCCGGGTGCTCCTTTGCAAGGAAATGCGATGGTCTGTCTGGCTTGTTGTGAGATGTCTGGGCGCTTCATGGGTTGTGAGCACCAATGAGTCGCACGAAAGATAGCCCTCAGTCGAAAAAGAAAAACATGGAACGCCACTCGCACCGATGATGTACGTCGCCCGGGCTATGAACATCACAGGCTTGCGAGCTATATTTCTCAAATCATATGACGACTGGCTCCGATGTACCATGTCCTTAGAATGCTTGGGTATTTATTCTTCATTCATCTCGAGGCAACCAGGTGATCGTCAAACATGCCGAAATCATCATCATCATCATATCATCCTGTGACCAGGTAGTCCAGCATCATGACCCACTACACCCTCCCTCCCCCCAAAACGCCTTGATCCTTACAAAAGTAGAGGTTCCAAAATCACATCCAGATACGCCTGTTCCTCTCGGCCTCTCGTTTCTGCTGCACCCATTTCTGGTACGTGTTTGGCAGCCGCGGATACTGCAGCTGCTCCCACTCAGTGTCCTGCGGAACGAGCGGGAACGCGTATTTGGCGCGCAACACGCCGTCGACCGTCTCGAAATCGTGATCCTCGTCAGAGATGGATCCCTCGTCGTCCATGTCGGCCGTATCGACAATCTCGGCGTGCTTCTGGAATACGTCCTTCTCCAATGCGGCAAGCACGGCATCCTTGACAACCTGGGCCACTGCGTAGGTTTCGGTGGCACTCATTGGAGTCGGCTGCACCAGATGTGCCCCGGATCCCGTGGTCGCTCCGTCATCCGCGCCATGGGCATCCTTGGTTTCGCTGATCTCTCTGACCTTCGTCATGATGACTACCCCCTTGGCTGCCGGCTCACCCGTCTTTGTTGCGGTGTCAGAGACCGCTTCGTGATGTGTTTGGATTTCCAGTGGCAGATCGGTCGTGGCCGTCCCCTCGTCAAGATCTGCTCGCTCCAATATCGCCCGGAGGCTTTTCTTCGTCTCATCGGTCAGCGGTCGTTCGGCCATCTTGGCGGCCTCCAGCCCGAGTCTCGAGCTTGGCGCGCTGACCAGCACTCGGATAGCGTAATCCCACCGCTCTTGGAGCAAGAACATCTTCCCACGCAGCCACTGGTACGTCCAAATGTTTTGCGGACGACCTGGCCGAGCCAAGAACTCATGCTGCAGCTGTGCGTAAGCTGTCAAGGCCCCCGTCCTGTTGGTGGTCGACTCGTAAATGTGTGCAAGATGGCGAAGGATGTTGCGTATGCGTCTGTCCTTCTCGGAGGATGTCGAATCGTTGCGTAGATCAGCCACGGCGTCGCGGGCTATCTCAAGGCACTTTCGATATTCGTACGAGGCCTCGTCCAGCTGTTTGGAACACAGCAGGCTGTGGGCGAGTTCCATATGAGAGTCCAGCGTTGTCTCTGGCGGCCTTCGGTCGCTGGATTCCCGAGCGCACATGTCACGCAAGACTTCGACGGCCTCGTCCCACCTACACAAGGACTGCAGGGCATTGGCGTGGTCGTTCATGTTCCTCAGGCTGGCAGCACTGCAGGGTCCGTATTTGACCGTGTGCCCGTCCAGGATGGGCTGAAATCTGCGGCACATGCGGACAACCTTGGCGTACTGTCCGAGGCGCATATACGTCAAGCGGGCAAGCTTCAGTGTCCATTCGCCATTGGCGTAATGCAGAAGATCTGCTGCCAGATCCATGTGGTCCAACTCGGCGCCGGCTTCCTCGTGCAAGCAGCGTTCGGACAAGCACATGACGATATTGTAGTCAATGGCTGCCTTTTCTTCCGGCCCAAAGGCAGGCCTAAACTCGTTCCACGCGCGCGCTACTCGGTATGCAGTCTCGGCTTCCTCGTACTTGTCTTGGTTCACAAGCATGCTGGCTAGGTCTCGTTGGGCTTCGATGGTCATCGGATGATGTGTGCCCCGCTTCCGTACCAGAGCAGGCACCAGGCTGCGAAGCAACTTCTCCCCTTCAGGCCACGAGTGCGTGTAGTAGTAGATCTCGCCGAGTTCCCGCATGGACAGGGTGTTGAAGTCGAGACAGCGCTGCGTGAGGGAGGCCCAGCTGACGCGCCACGACTTCGTTTGTGTCCTCGCTTCCTCCAACATGGCTTCGGCGGTCAAGGCGATTTCTTCAGCTTCAGCCAAGTCGCCAATCTCGTTTCTTCGGACAAGAGAGTCGCCGAGAAGTAAGACGGCCCGCATGAGATAGGGTTCTCGATCGCGGGCTTTCGGGAGAGAGGCGAAACGCTCGTGAGCGACGCGAAGATGCGCGATGGCCGAACTCCAGTCAGAGGGGGCCTGGTTGCGGAAGCGGGGCCCCAGGGCCAACGCGACGAGACCTTCCATATGAGGGAAAAGTAGCGACCTTTGCGGCGATGTTGGTGAGGACGAGGGCGGTGATCCACTTGCTCCTCATCTTGAGCAACTCCGCTGTGGCCAGGAGGGAGAGGACTGGAGGGGTTTCGACTCGACGCCTCACAGCCTTGGACAGCCTCAAGGCGGACATTGCGGGCCACGCCTTCTTGTTCTCTGGCATTTGATCTGAAAACCGTGCTGCAGTTGCTGGCGTCGTTGAGATTGCGTCAGTCTGTTGCATGCCGGTGTGATGGTCACGCTCATGTCAGAAATGGCACACTATCAATCGCCCTGGCGTCTGGGCGGCTTGCACGTCGAAAGGCAGCGCACACGTGGTGGCGTGTCATTCGAGGCACCGTGTAGGTAGTCGTGAGCAGGCTGGCCCAGGCAACGCGATGAGTTTCTAGAAACAATGTTTGTGAAGGGACGTGGTCGGATGATGCGGGATCCCACTCTGCCCGCCCAACAAAGACGGTCTCGTTGGGGATCCTACCTTCGGGTAGAAGGTGAATGGTGATGCTGCACGTGGTTGATGCGCGCGGATGCGATGCGTCTCGTATACGCTACCGTGTGTGAGCTGTGGCAGGAGACTATTCTCTCATAGAGGCATGATTTTCACAGCGTTATGAGAGTTAAAAGGTAAGGCAAGGCGCCTGAGATGGGATGAGGTTGTATCGTTCTGTTTAGGCTGCCAGGCGGGGTGCCGGAGGCGGGCGGGCTGGGACTGCGACTGCGACCACGACTAAAGGGACGAGGATGAGAGACACCACGGCCATTCAACCAATGGTGTGCCTGCATTCACCAGCCCCAGCATCTAGCCCAGCTCCTGCCTCAGATTGGGTCATCGCTGCCTGCCTGCGAGCAACCTTGCCTGGGGATACGATGGACGGTCACCTGGGTTGAGGTAAGTTCCAGAGGACCAGAGGAGGAGGACATTTACAATGTTCATGGGCAGCATCCTTTTTTAGCACTTGTCCACACCGCAGGTGGACTAATAGGTACCTTGCAAGCACGGTCGCACCACGGCTGGCGGGCGGGACGCAGAGGGTAGGTAGGGGCTGGCAACTACCGGCCTAGTAGGAGGGGCTGGGAAGTGGGTCAGTCAGCCCTACGCTGGTTGTTCTCCAAGGCAAGCTGCTCTTCCAGATGCCTAGGTTGTACTAGGAAATGTTAGCATGGTAATCAGGCCGTAAAGGTGCTCTTCATGATAGAGCCTTCTCAATGATTAAACCCCGATTCGAGAGCGAAGCATGCTTTAAGTGACCTCTGGACACATGTTCGTCCGTGAAATGAATGGTGACCCCTGTGAAAGACTTCGTCCGTCAAACGTCTGCGCCACTACACATGGACAGTTCCTGCGACGTGTATCGACCCTAATACGGCCGACACGGGCGCGTAAGATGCAAGAAAAGATCACCATATGGTAATCGAGTCTGCTCCTTGGCTCCGCAAAGAACAGCAGGACTATCTACTCGGGATAGCTTCACCAGAATACTAAAGCTTCCCGATGTTACGGTCGACCCCAAAGGGCGTCACACGGTCGTAGGTACCTCAGGGCAGCTGTCCGCCTGAGCTAAAAGAACAAGTGTTGAATAATCGTCATGTATTTAACTGTACTGCATTCATAGAGGTACAGTGCGGGCCGCAGGCATATATAATGTCAATGGGTCTCACCCATAACACCCCGAACAAGTAGTCAGACGTCTTCTTCTTGCCACACACGACTAGCCACCCATCATTTCTGTGTTTATGAGACCCGTCACGCGTCACCTTTGTAGGTTTTTGTAGCTGCCCTTGACATAATCACCTAAGCTATTGGACTTTATAAACGTGCTGCTGCCAAGCCTGGCATTCCTAAAACAAATTGTTCACATTGACGATTGGCTATTCTGAGTGAATGATGTCTCTTAACGTACGTGCCACCCGTGACTGGCGATATATATATTGTAAGGATCTTTGAAATTAGTATTGTCTATATCATGTGGTTGGTGGGTAGCCTGGGGAGAACATCATTTGCAAGCCGTGAGTGCTGTGTTTATAATTAGGACAGTAAGAGTGTGTATGAGAATTACTTAAATGTAAGATTGCCACTTTCATGGATACAGTACGAGTGGTCGATCACTGAGGCGCTGGCCTAGACTTGGTAAGACACTATCCTGCAGTCACCTTAGATGTGAAGGCCTTCTTATCGGACTATAATGAGTCTTGTACCGACAAGTGATTTGAAGAAACGAAATAATGAAGAGCATTATAGAGCTGGCCAAAGTGGCAAAACAAAGTAAGACAAAATCGGCAAAAGTATCGACGAGGGCAGGATTCGAACCTGCGCCACCGAAGTGAATAGATTTCTAGTCTATCGCATTAGACCACTCTGCCACCTCGCCCGTTGCGAAGTCGTCCAAAATCCAGTTGCTTATGATTGTGACTCAGGCCGGGTCATTGTCTCAGATCGGAGTGGGCCTCTTTTGTTCTCGGGTCTTGGTCTCAACGACAATTGATGACAATGTAGTGACCTTCGCGCGCGTACCGTTGTGACGCCAACATATTCCACAAATGGCCTGGAGGCCCCATCGCGTACTGAAGCCCCTGGCGATTGCAAGGAGGTCAATGTCTATGGCCTCAGCCCGGAGAATGGCCAGTCCGAATCCGCAGTGGCTTCAATCAGTATTCGATGACTGTGCGGCGGCACCGAAGCTATTCGCCTGGACGCCTGCCAATATTAGCTCACGAACTCAGGCTCAGTCTCAGACTCAAGCCTCCGGAAGCCTGGTCCCATCAGCCTCAGAGAAGACTCGTCGCATCTTTGTCCTCGGCGTCGGCAACCTCGGCGTCGTCTTCGCCACGTCGCTGGCAAACTTGTGCCACGCCCGCCCATCACCCTTGTCGTCCACAGAAAAGAACTCCTCGAGCAGTGGCATCGGATCCCAGCCTCAAA